CATCATTAGTTCTAAAGCTACGTTCCTAGCCTCTTCCACTAATTACAGATCATTTTCTCTTTTCTGTTGTATTTTTGATAATTTATTACTTGAACATATGCTAGTTCTACCTATTTATTTTCTGCTCTTCCTTTTCTTATCGATACCTTTATGATTTCAATCTTAGTAAATATACTGAACTTTTTTGGTGGGCTTGTGTGGCCTCTCTTGGAGACTGTTTCATGGGCACTTGAAAAAAATGTATTAATACATTGTAATGTTTTGTGGTGGAATGCTTAATACACAACTCAGTGGTAATTAATCAGTACACTATTCAAGTTCTGTCTATACTGGTGCCTCATCTCATTGCAGACTTTCTTCTGCTCTCTTCAACTCAGATATCTGCATCATCTACTTGGATCTCTACTGACAACAGCATGCTATGTACATGTTTCAGATATTTACACCTTCTCCGTGGGTAAATCCTGGTGCAAGGGTACAAGAAGGCTGACACCCCAGTTTGACATAAAGATGGGGTGGGGGATGTTTCCTTCCTTTGCTTTTTATTCAGGTCCTCAAATGATTCCCCAGTGCTTCTCGAGTCAGAAAGGTCGTTATCAATACACAAGGCTCTGTTGTTCCATGGCAACTGTGGGTTAGTCTGTTTTATCTGATGCCACCTCGGTTCTTGTTTCTGTTATTGTCCTTCAGCTTGTTTGCATCTAAGTATTGGATATTTTTGATTACTGATTAACGTCCTTTTCGTAGGGCTTCACAAACTCCGTTTAGCCTTTCTTGAAAAACAGGTCTTATGAAGACAACCTCCCTCAGTTTTTATTTCCATGCAAGTGTTTTATCTGTCTTTCATTTACCGAGGACAGGTCTGCGGGGTGAGTATTTTTGATTGGCATGCTTCTGGGAAGTCTCCTAGCACTCCCACTGGAAATTCCTTCTGTTGACTCCTCTGTTCTCTCCATGCCTTCGGATGATCCTCTCTGTCTTTGATCTTCAGAATTTTGATCAGAATGCTTCATGGCGTAAGACTAACCCCTGATAGAAGAAATTTGATCTCCTGAATCTGGACATTTTAGCTTTCCTTGGGTTTGCAAAGTCTCCTGGTATTGCTTCCTTGAAAGATTTAAAACAAATGATTTTCTCTGCTCTCTCTTGAATACCACTGACACAAACACTTGCCCTTTCCATGTTGTCTGGGGACGCATCCTTCTTTTTTGCTCTTTCTTGCAGGGTGACTATGCTTTCAAGCAACTTGTCTGTGAGTTAACAAATTCTTTGGTTCGATCAGTTCTAGCAATGCTCACAGTAGCATGCACATCATTTCACATATTTTCTAACTTTCAAAATGGGAGTGGTAAAAGAAGATATCAACTGAGTGCTAATGACCAGTTAGTATATCAAAAGGGGGATCTGTGTGCTCAGTCTACATTCTGAGAAGTGGTTAGGTAAGAAGTTAGGGGTCTATTAGTAAGGTTGTATAACAAAGGAAGGTCTCACCCTAAATTGCACAAGAAATAAAGCTATTCACCTGACCTAGGAGACAGGTGTTGTTTCATTTGGCCTTGGATGCTTGATAGGTATTTTAGATAAATACACTGCTAGAAGTTCTTGGAAGCACACAAGAAAATCATTGTAGGAACCAGCTAATGTATATAACAAAAGCTAAAATATCACCAAGACTTCTTAAGCCATGGCTTGACCTTTGGAGAAGTCCTTGACTTTTCCAAGTGGTAGTTTTTGTGATAGTAGCTGAATTCCATTGTGTTTTCCTGTGGCTTGCAGCAAATTTAAAGCAAGATTACAATGTAGCTTTCTTCCATGTAAGATCTTTTTCCATATTTGAGCATTCTAAAGTTGTAGAGAAAAATAGACTTTTAAAAACTAAGTATTCTGGGACAGAGTGGCATTTTAAGATTTTGGCAGGTTAAACCAACTAAAAAGAAATTTTCTTTAAAATGAAATCTACAAGTCACCAATGTCAAGATGACCCAGAGATCGAAGACAGCAGCACAAATTACAGCTGAATGATATATAGCTGGGAGATGGCTCAGTGGTTAAGAGTTCATACTGCTCTTACACGGGACTTGATTCCAAGCATACATAAAGGGCAGTTTCCAACCGCCCACACATCTAGCTCCTGAAGAATGCAATGCCTTTTTCCCGCCTCCCTGGGCACCTGTGTAGCTAGAGTTTTCCTGCCTGGCCCACAGTCAGGACAAATCTCTGACACCCGCCAGTCCCACAGCCACTCAGACCCAACCAAATAAACACAGAGACTTATATTGGTTACAAACTGTATGGCCGTGACAGGCTTCTTGCTAACTGTTTTTACAGCTTAAATTAATTCATTTCTATTAATCTATACCTTGCCACGTGGCTTGTGGCTTACCGGTACTTTACATCTTCCTTGTCCTGATGGCAGCTGGCAGTGTCTCTCTCACTCAGCCTTCCACTTCCCAGCTCTATTCTCCTCCTTGTCCCGCCTATACTTCCTGCCTGGCCACGGGCCAATCAGTGATTTATTTATTGACCAATCAGCAACACATTTGACATACAGACCATCCCACAGCACTTCCCCTTTTCTTTTCTTAAAGAGGAAGGTTTTAACCTTTACATATCTCTAAAGTCAGCTTGGTATATTTGGGAATTTGGGCGTAGCTTCTCTTACTACTTCCTGCTGGAGGGGGGCACTGTATCTTATGGGGACACAAAGAATATTTTAGGGTTATGGAGTAGTCCATGAGGGTGTATCATCTGAGCCAGTTGCCTTGAAATGGTTCTGGATGTTGGATCATCTGGGCCATGGTGTCATTGGAGACCTTTCAGGGGGTCTTGGCTGGTCAAACCTGATGTGTCTTAATCTGGAACAAATCCATAGCCTCTGGCTTTCTGTGGAAACAAAAGCAGAATCTTCTTTCCAAAGCAACATATCCTTACATCCAAATTTTGAAGTCAAGGTACCTTTAAAATATACATTTTGGCATAACTCAACAGCTTTTGTAATCAAATGTTTTTCTTTAGTTACGAATATCAAAGAGAACATAATCCAGATTCTTTGTGTGGTAGCCATCTTTACGTGGCTTATTTTTATTTTTTTATATTAGCTTGAGCCTATTGCTTTGAACTGCAGCCTTCTAAGCCTGAAACGGCGCTGGTGCTGTGGCTGCTGGCTCCGCCCACTTCAGCTTCCCAACATGGCGGCGGTATGCTTACCGCCAGCTCTGGGAGTCATCGTGGGCCTATGCTTTTATCCAAGCAGCTTGTAGCCCAGAAACCTCTTTTTTTTGTTTTGTACTAGCAAAGGCTAAATCCACCACGCAGCTTAATGTGGCACTTGCAGAGGCCTCATTCCCGCCATACTGCAGGTCCAACGCGCACGCCAGGAAACCACCAGTAGCTCAAACCGGCAGCTGCCGCTCATTTGAGAGAGACAATTAGGAACTGTTTTTAGCTCCGTTTTAGAATCTTTTTTTTTTTTTTTTAGTTTTTAGGTGGAAACTCTTGCCACCACGTTGGACGCCATTTGTATCTAGAGTTTTCCTGCCTGGCCCACAGTCAGGACAAATCTCTGACACCCGCCAGTCCCACAGCCACTCAGACCCAACCAAATAAACACAGAGACTTATATTGGTTACAAACTGTATGGCCGTGACAGGCTTCTTGCTAACTGTTTTTACAGCTTAAATTAATCCATTTCTATTAATCTATACCTTGCCACGTGGCTTGTGGCTTACCGGTACTTTACATCTTTCTTGTCCTGATGGCGGCTGGCAGTGTCTCTCTCCTCAGCCTTCCACTTCCCAGTTTTTTCTCCTCCTTGTCCCGCCTACACTTCCTGCCTGGCCAATGGCCAATCAGTGATTTATTCATTGACCAATCAGCAACACATTTGACATACAGACCATCCCACAGTACACCTGCACTTACACGCTCATACACACACACATCTATCTGTGCAATTAGAAATGAAAACTAAATATTTTAAAAAGATTAAGTTTTCTTCCACATTGGATTCTAAGTCTCTTGACTGTAGCTACGAAGCTGTTTTGTTGTTTTGTTTTGGGTTTTGTTGTTGTCCTTTTTACATAGCTATTTTTTTTTTTGGTCATTGCCTACATAAGCAGATTATCAACTAAACAAATATCAAACACCTCACATTTTCATGGGCATGCAGAAAGAACCCAAGTGTTGTTTGTCTGGGTACCCAAAGTCCAGATTGGCCTCAAATTAGTTTTTTTTACTTCATCAACAACTAAAGCTTTTACACATTCATGATGACATTTAAAAAAAGAAATTAAGAAATAAAATATTAGTTAAGCATCTTAATCTTGTGTTCCATGTAAATAGATATGTTTTGATAACTCTAATAGTATATTGCTAGGCCATTCTCCTCCCTAATTTTCGAGATGTCATGGGTGTTGTTTGAATATTGATGTGTGGGACGTAAACTTTCAAATGCTCCCCTGAGGAATGCTGCTGGGAGGGCTGGGCTTCCAGTTTCTCTGCATGTTAAGTAAAAAGAAAGGGTTGTCCAGTCTTACGTAATAAAGAAATACATGTTGATTTATGTATTTTTTTTAATATATGAGAGCTCTGGTGGCATGTGTATCTGCACACCAAATGGCATCGGATCCCATCATAGATGGTTGTGAGCCACTATGTGGTTGCTGGGGAATTGAACTCAGGACCTCTGGAAGAGCAAGTAACCAGTACTCTTAACCATGGGATGATCGCTCCAGGAGTTGGCCAGTCTTGATACCCAGTCTAGAAAAAGTATTTTACTCTTACTGACTCCTAGCATCCTGCATGAAGCAGACCTGATGAAAAGGCCAATCTTGTGATAGCCTGAGAAAAGGACAGCCCACCCAGACCCTAGAATGTTGTATCAAGGTGTTAATTCTGCTGTCCTACTCTGTGAAGCATAGGTCCTTCTGATGGTGGCCCTCCCGTGAATCTGACATAAACATCTCTGGCCTCTACGTTCACCTGCACAGCTTTCTTGGGAGATGAAGTCACTTAGCCTTTCTCTACTCACAGTGACAGTCCTTCTTTGCTGTAACATGACTCAGCCTGGACTCAGGAAGAAAGCGGGTAAGGCAGTGTTTCTGGATCTGTTTGGTTAGGAAAGCCTTTCCTCTGATGAGTCCGTGGAACCACTTGGCACTGGTGCTTGGAGTCACCTTGTGGTATTCTTCTGCAGATATAATCAAATCTGGGTTTTGCCCAGAGTATCATCTTTCCTGCCCTTTTGTCCTCTTGTCCAAGTGCAAGCATGATAGAGGCTGCAAGAGAGACAAAAAGTGTTGTTTCTACTACTGTCAGATGCGCTGTGTGGATCCATGGGTGACTCTGGATTAGGTGAGCAGCCCTATAAATGCTACTCTCGACACTCCTTCTGGAACCCTTGTGTGGAGTCCCTTGCCTTGTATGGAGCTGCAAACTGTCTGTACCTCTAGACAGTGTGGCAACCAGAGCATTTGAATTAATTAGAATTGTCCAGAGATTGTCCCCTTCACTAGAAAATGCACCACCGTTGCGTAGGTGGGCATCATATTACCCTTTCCTGAATACTAAGGACATCTGCATAAGATTATCCCTAAACTCCTCAACTGCTACTGGATGTTTCTTATGCTTATTTTCAGTTGCCCCTTTTCATATCCTATAACAATGAAGCATTTCCCACTACACTTTAAATTATGAAGGAATTAGGAAATTATAATTTCCCATTTTACTTGTTTAGAACCACTCATGCCCAGCCCCTAATTCCCTGACGGCACATCTCAGTGTTCTTGGAAAGAGGGCACACAGTAGTAATCAGGGCACGGTGACTAGGTGACCCAGAACCATGTCCCCAGCACAGTATGCATCTGTTCTTATCTCTGTTCTTTCTAGACAAAAATGAGAAGACGCATTTGGTACAGTCTTAGTCCAGAATAGCTGGCCTCCAGTTCCTTCTTGGTCCTCACAGGCTCTTCAAAAAGCTAAGCATTTGGGGCTGGAGGGATGGCTCAGAGGTTAAGAGCACCGGCTGTTCTTCCAGAGGTCCTGAATTCAATTCCCAGCAACCACATGGTGGCTCACAGCCATCTGTAATGAGATCTGGTGCCCTCTTCTGGCCGGCAGGCATATATGCAAGCAGAACACTGTATACATAATAAATAAATAAAATTTTTTAAAGCTAAGCATTTGTTAATATGAATACAAAACAAAGGAATAAAGAGTTGTGCATTTGTCTATTTTCTGTTGTGATTAAGGATAAAAACTGCCTTAGGCTGGGATTTTAGAAACAAGAAAGATTTACAGCCCAGCATTGCAGGATCTACTTGAAAGAGTGCACACAAAACAGAAAGGAAGTTCTAGTATGGAGACTATAGGAAGAATTGATTTCACGAGAGGGATGGGAGAATTGTTAGATACTCTCCATTGATGTGACAAGATGCATGACCATAAGGAAGGAATGGGGTGTTTCCGATCATGGTTTGATGATGCTACCCATCACAGTGGGACTGGCACAGGGAACCTGATATCTGACAAATTAGACTTTAAAACTGGTCAGAGGAGATAAAGGGGAGCCTCTACATATTAATAAAGAGAACAATTCATCGAGAAGATATAATGATTGTGAATACATATGCACAAAACACAGAGACACCCAATTTCAAAAAACAGACACCAAAGGTCAGATGGGTCCAGACACTAAGATAGGGAGTCATTTTACTACACCATTCTCATGTCTAGATAGGCCATCCAAACTCACAGTCAAAAAGAAACTGAAGAGTTAAACTATACTATAGATCAAATACACTTAACGGATACCTATAGGATATTCCACCCAATGGACTTTGTTCTCAGCAGAATTATCTAAAGCAGACTATACCATAGGTCACAAAGCATATTTTAATAAATAAAAAGTAATCAAGATAATTTCTTTTTGGTTTTTTGAGACAGGGTTTCTCTGTGTAGCTTTGCGCCTTTCCTAGAACTCACTTTGTAGACCAGGCTGGCCTTGAACTCACAGAGATCCACCTGCCTCTGCCTCCCAGTGCTGGGATTAAAGGCGTGTGCCACCACCGCCTGGCTAACTTCTTGATACTATCAGATAACAGTACAGTGAAACTAGAAGTCAAGAGCAAGAGAAATTATACTTGGGATTGCATGATACATTCTTGAATGAAGAAAAAAAGATCATAGAATGAAATGAAAATGGGAATGCAACTTTACCTTTACAAAACAGCTAAGGAAATTCCAAAGGAAAATTTGCAGCTATCAGAGTTTATACAGTGAGTCAATGTGAAGATCAGGTAAAAAACTTAAAGCATCCAACAGTCAAATTAAAATGAAAGCACCATTTAGGAGACTCTTAGGAATACAGCTAAGGCAGTTCTAACAATACTTACATTTATCAATGTTTGCCTTTTAAAAAATTATCAGAGAAATCTCAAATAAATAACTTAGTCGTGAACCTCAAGGTCTTAGACAAACAATGACAAGCCAAACTCAAAGCAGTGGATGGCAAGAAATAATAAAGATCAGGGCAGAAATATATTAAAAAGAGACTAAAAGAAAAACAACTACAGAACCATCGACTCAGGACATGGAACTGGTACTAAAGCAGACATCCAGACCAATGGGAGAAAACAGAAGAACTAGAAATAAACCTGTGAAGGATACAGCCATCTGAATTTTTCCAAAGGTGTCAAAACCACTTGCCCAGCCCTGCCATCCACAGCACATATAGCTTGTCTTGTACAGCTTGTCTTGTAAGCTCGGGCCAAGCTTTACTCCAGAGCTGCTGCTATCCTTAACTGCTCCACAGTTCTGGCATCTCTGATATCCTGGGGTCTTTACTGAAGCTGAGGCTGCACCCTCACCAATAGCCTCCTGGCATCTCTTCAGGGACTCTGACCCTGCCTCGTGGTGCCTCAGTTTCTCTTCATTACACTTTTAATCCTGGGGTTCTCACTGCTACTGAGGTTGTCCCTTCACCAATAGCCTCTTCTAGCCTCTCTTCAATGCCAAGCCTCAGCTGCTCTCTGTGACCCCCCACCCCATGCCTTCAAGATCGGCACCATGTGCGAAACTCTTTACATTACCAACCAAGTAGGGCTGCCTACAGCAGGACTTCAGCTTCTGTGTGGGGGATCTGAGGAAATACTCTCCAGAAGGTATCACCTCAATGATGCTGGTCTCTTATTAATCACAGCTGATTCTTCAGTCCTAGCTAAGTAACATTGACTGCCCCTGCAAAACACAGCTTTTTCTTCCACGGATTTTTTATTCTAATGTATAGCAGAAACAGCCATAGTTGTTGTTGTTGTTGTTTTACTCTTTTGGGGGGCCACCACCCAGCTCCCAAATAAATGCACAAAGACTTCTTACTTATGAATGCCTGGCCTTAGCTTGGCTTGTTTCTAGCCAGCTTTTTGTAACTTAAATTATCCCATCTACCTTTTGCCTCTGGGCTTTTACCTTTTTCTGTTCTATATTCCTTTCTTTCCTGCTTACTCCATGGCTGGCTGTGAGGCTAGATGGCTGGCCCCTGGCATCTTCCTCTCCTTTTCCTTTTCTCACTCCTCTCTCTTCTTCTTTTTCTCCTTCTATTTATTCTCTCCTGCCTAGCTATTGACTGTTCAGCTCTTTATTAGATCAATCAGGTATTTTCAATAGGCACAGTAACACAGCTTCACAGAGTTAAACAAATGCAACATAAAAGAATTTGCATCATTAAACAAATATTCCACAGCATGAGCAAATGTAACACATCTTAAACTAACATTCCACATCAAGCAGCCTTGAGAGTCTTTGCTTCCCTCTGAAGCTTCACAAGTAATGCCTCCATTGCCTACACCTTTCTCCCATCCAAGTACTAACCAGGCCCAACTCTGCTTAGCTTCTGAGAGCAGACAAAATTGCGTGTATTCAGGATAGTATGGCTGTAGACCCTCATACTTTTCTCAACATTCCCATCTTCCAAGCTTTCATAACACTTCATTGGGCTTTGAGTTCTGAATGGCTTTTTCAACCCAAAGCTTCAAAATTCTAATCCTTGTCAAAAAAAAGAAAGAAAGAAAAGGAAGGAAAGAAGAAAGGAAGGAAGAGAGAGAGAGAGAGAGAGAGAGAGAGAGAGAGAGAGAGAGAGAAGGAGGGGGAGAGAGGGAGAGAGGGAGAAAGAAAGAAAGGAAGGAAGGAAGGAAGGAAGGAAGGAAGGAAGGAAGGAAGAAAGAAAGAAAGAAAGAAAGAAAGAAAGAAAGAAAGAAAGAAAGAAAGAAAGAAAGAAAGAAAATGTCTGATCCATCGCAGCAATATTCCACTCTCTGCTCCAAATTTCTGCCTAGTTTTCTGTTGCTGTGATAAAACATAGACCAAACCCAACTTGGGGAGGAAGGGTGTCTTAGTTACTTCTCTATTGTTGTGAAAAGAAACCATGCCCAAGGTAACTTACAGAAAGAAGAGCTTATGGAGAATCACAGTTTCAGAGGGTGAGTCATGACCATCCTGGCAGGCAGACATGGTGCTGGAGCAGTATCTGAGAGCTCACATCTTAAAACACAAACACCAGGTAGAGAGAGAGGAGGGAAGGAAGGAAGAGGAGGGGAGAGGGAGAGAGAGAAACTGGGAATGATGTGGGATTTTAAAACCTCAAAGCCCACCTTCAGTGGCACACTTCTTTCAACAAGGCCACACCTCCCAATCCTTCCTAAATGGTTCCATCAAATGGCAACCAAATATTCAAACATATGAGGCTATAGGGGCCATTTTCATTCAAACCACAGACTGTATTTGGTTTATACAGCCGATCATTAAAAGAAGTCAGAACAAAAACTATGGAAGAACATTGCTTACAGGCTTGCTTACTCTGGCTTGCTCAACGTGCCCTCTAACAAAACCTAGGCCCATCTACCCAGGGTAGCACTGCCCACAATGGGCTGGGCCTTCCTTCATCATTCATTAATCAAGAAAATGCCCCCACAGACATGTCCACAGGGCAATTTGATGGGGGCATTTTCTCAATTCAGGTTTCCTCTTCCCAGATGACTCTAGTTTGTGTCAAGTTGACAAAATATAATGGCTACAACCAGTCATAGGCGAAGTATAAATTCACACAGGGGGAAATACTACTAGGTGGCCCCCAGAATAGCTACTGAAAAAGGCAGACATTATCAAGTGTTGCTGAAATTAAGGAGCAGCAAATCTCCTCTCACACACTGGTGCTGTTTGAATTGTTACATGTGTATTGGAGAGGTGTTGGCCATATTTATGAGGGCAGAGCATATCTACTCTCCGTGCCCTCCACTCCATCAATCCAGCAATTCCATTCCTAACTACATCCCACTTACATTCTCAAATGTATGTATGTACAAGAATATTCACGGCAACGCTCCTTGTAAGAGTCAAAACAACAGAGTGGATGCATGGACTTTTGACATCTCCTTTCTGCTGATTTGAATTTTGTTGTTCTTGTTTGTTTTGTTTCTGTTTTGTAGGTTAACAAAGTAATGGTTTGTTAACCTACAGAATAGTTCCCACTTCCAGTAGTTCCCCCATTTGCTTTCATGTCACATGTATTCCATTACTTTTTTTGTAATCCTTGCCTCTCCTTTAAGCTCTCAACCTCCCCTCTCCCAGGCCCCTTTCTACTTTACACATACATACAATTAACCTACAATCCCATATGAGGAAAAATCATGAAGCATCTGTCTTTTTTGTTTGTTTGTTTGTTTGTTTGTTTTTCAAGGCAGAGTTTCTTAACATAGACCTGGCTGTTCTGGAATGTGATCTGTAGATCAGGCTGGCCTCAGAGTCAGAGATCTACCTGCCTCTGCCTCCCCAGTACTGGGATTAAAGGTGTGCACCACTACCACTTAGGGGAGCATCTGTCTTTTCAATGTGAATTATTCCATAGAAGACTATGAGCTCCTGTTCCATCCAGTTTCCTGAAGATGGCATTTATTCTTCCTTAATCCCATTGTGTATGAGCACCACACCACGTTTTCTTTATTCATTCTTCTGTGGTTGAACACCGAGGCTGAGTTCTTATCTATTGAGACTAGTGTGGCAATGAACATTGATTGATCTGCAAATATCTCTAAAATATGTAGAGTTCTTTGGGTAAATGTCCAGAAGTGATATGGCTGGTTCACATGACAAATCTACTTTCAGTTTTTGAGGAATCTCCACATTGATTCTTATAGTAACTGAACTGATTACATGACCACAATTCTATAAGGACCCTTTATCTTTAAATCCCCACAGCATCTGTTACTTGCATTTTTATATAATAATTTAAAGCTTTCTATATTACACATCCCTTAGCAAATTATTATAGTTTTACATTTTAACAAATTTATCTTTTAATCTTCAAATTAAAGATATGAGTGGTTTTTTGTCATTTTTTGTTTTGGGGGTTGTTTTATCTATCTTTAATAAAATATTTTATTAATTCTTCTTTGAGAATTTTATATACTGTATTTCCACTATATTCACTCCACTCCTTCTCCTAACTCCTTCCAGATTCATTTCCCCACCTCTCCACCCTTTCCCAATGCCAAGCCCTCCTTTGTATTTTAATAACCAGCTGAGTCAACTTTATGTTGCCTATATGCTAATGAATGTGAGATCCTCCATTGAAACATGGTTGCCCATATGGCTGATTTATATACCATTGTTACACTGTTACATTTGGTGGAGTTCACTTTTCCTTTATTTTTTTCTTTCCCCACTTTTTTTCCTATGTAGCCTGGGCTGGGTCAAGAACTCAAGATCTATGACTTCACTAGACCTGGATAGTTAGCCAGGCTTCTAATATCAAGCAGGAGAACCCGTCTCCAAAAAAGACAGAGGAGAGAGAGGGGAAACGTATAAATTATTTATTAGCCTTAATCTTAAATCCCATGACACATAGGAAATTTTTCATAAATCTAGAAAGAATATTGCTGGTAACCCATTACACTGTCTTGCTTTATCTTTACAATGGTGTAGGTAGCAGTTAAACATTAATGGCAAAAAGTAAAGCCTCCTGTGCACCCATACCTGAGCAGTATTTGGAGAAGTGGTGTTTCAAATTTTCTGGCTACGTGATAAGAAGAGTGGGTTGGCTAGCTGGGACACATGGCCCCTGAGCAGCAACTCTCTTACTGCCTGAACCTACAGTAAAACTTACAAATTAGGAAAGGCCAGGCCAGCCCTGATAGACCCTAAGAACAGAACATTATCTCCCTTACCCTTGAAAAGGGGGTAGAGGGTGAGGCTTGAAAGAAACCAGCTAAGTCCTTCCGGTTCAGGCTGATAACACTTCCGGTTTTTTTTTCCTGACCTGTGAGCCACAGCACCACCTGCTGGTTATCTGCCACCCAGCGCTGATCCGAACAGATCTTTCTTCCATGTTCACCTGACAATTTTCTTAGGAGATGAAACCAAGGAGTCTCACACTGTTCACAACAACCCTCCTCCTTTGCCTCAGCATGGTGCAGCCTAGAATAAAGAAGAAAAGAGGTGATGCAGCGGGGTGCTGGAGGTACTAGGGGAGGGGAGCGTTTTCCCACGTGGGAATTCTGTGGAACCAGCTAGCTGGTCCTTGCAGTGATCCCACCGGTGCTTCCTATTCACTCAAGGGCATTTTTCTGCAGTAACAACGCCAAAACCTGGGTACTGCCCGGAATTTTCTCTCCCCTGCCCGTTTGTCCGCTTACCCCTATGCAAGCTTGATAAAGGGTGCAAGGGCATCAAAAAGTGCTGTTTCTACTACTGTCAGATGCGCTGCATGGAACCGTGGACAACCACGATTTGAAGTGAGTGGCCCCAGACCTGCTGTACTTGGTGCTGCCCCAGAAACGTGTCCGTGCGTCCATCTTATCTGCCTTAGAGCTTAGTGTTCAGCACCTGTGGAAATCACTGGGATCAGAGCTTTCAAGTTGGCGGTTGCCTAGAAAACATAACAGTCAAGCAGGAAGTGTGTCCCATACCTGTAATCCTAGCACTTGAGAGGTTGAGAGAGGGATTAGGAGACCAGTGTCATCTCTGGCTACATAGAGAGTGTGAGGTCAGCCTGGGCTACATAACACCCTGCTTGAAATGGGCATCAGACTTCCCTGTATGATGGGATCATCTGGACAACGTTATCTCTAAAGCCACCCAACTATCACTGAATTTTTTGTCATGATTATTTTCAACTGACCCGTTTCTCAGTTTGTTGTATTTCACATTTAAGTTGAAAAGTAAGGAATTATGAGTTCATAATTTCAGAGTGGAATTGCCTAGAATCCCCCAGCCCTCAGTCCCCAATTCTTTGACAGACAGCACATCCCAGTTCTCTTGGCAGAAGAGAACCTAGCAAGACTCAGGCCATGATGGCAGTGGGATCCCAAAGCATGTCCCCAGAACAGTTTACAACTGCTTCTATTTCTGATTCTTCTCTTCCTAGATGGAAACCCTTTCTTAACCAAGCCTGGGGAGATATGGTGCCATTGGCTCCAACTTGGATGGCTGACCTCAAGTTCCTCTGTCTCACAGGCCCCTTTTATTTGTGGGTTAAATGCTTATTAATATTAAAGCAAAACAAACAAACAAACAAATCTCTATGTAATAACTGTTTCTTGGTGTCATAGTCAACTGCTTGAAGCTAGATACTTTATATAGAGAAGAGGTTTATTTCCCTTCTAGTTCTGGAGGCTCAGGAACGCACTATCAGTCTGTCTCTAGCTCGAGTTAGGGACCGAGGTGACTGGCACCACACAGTGGTGGCAACACATGTGAAAGTCAACAGCAGTGCATGCAGAAAAAAATAAGGGGAGGCACTAGCCTATGCCAAAGAGAAAATTCCAGTTCCACCAGATAGACGCACTGATTGCTTCTGAAGGTGTTCCTCACATGACCTAATCAGCTGCCACCCGGCCGTACTGCTTAAAGGCCACACTGAACACAAGCTTGCCATACACGAACTGTTCAGAGAAACACTCAAAACAAATCAAACCCACTGTGTATTTTCAACTGTGTGGAGCTCTGTAAGACTTCTCTCTTCACCCCCTCCTCTCCTCTCTACCTCCTTCCTGCTCTTCTGTCCTCTTCCCCTCCACCATCACCCCCTGCCCTCCTTCCCTCCCTTCCCTTCCTCCCCCTTCTCTCTCTTCCATAGATCAGATTCCAGAGATTTTAGGGTCAATTTTTTAGTGTTTGTACCTTATGGAGGAAATCCTAAAATGGACGAGCACATCACGTGTATTACAGCTTCCTGGACACAGGTGCTGGGTCCTTCCCACATCTTGATCTAGGAACTTTGGAGCTTTGAGTTAGAAACAAGTCTGGAACTGTCTTTCATCTGGAGTGTTTAAAGACTGGGGAGATGCTCCACAGGTCAAATGTCTGCTGCATAAGCATGAGGACCTGAGTTTGGATTCCCAGGCCATGTGTGGCACATGCCTGTAATCCCAATGCTGGGAGGTGGAGACAGGAGGCTCTCAGGGGCTATCTGGTCAGCCATAGCTAGCCCATTAGTGAACTCTAGGTTCAATGAGTGACCCTGTCTCAAAAAGTAAGCTGGAGATTGATAGAGGAAGATGCCCAGTGTTGACCTCTGACCTCCACATGCACACACATGTATGCATTATACTCAGAGAGGAGGGTGGGGTATTGTGGGTTTTTTTTTTTTTTAACTCTTTACTCTTTGGGTGAGGCCTTCACCCAGCTCCCAAATAAATACATGGAGACTTATTATTATATGAATGCCCGACCATAGCTTGGCTTATTTCTAACCAGCTTTTCAATCTTAACAATTATCCTGCCTACCTCTTGCCTCTGGGCTTTTCCCTTTCTCTGTTTCTGTATACCTTTTCTTTCCTTCTCACTCCGTGGCTGGCTGGGTAGCTGGGTGGCTGGCCCCTTGTGTTCTACTTCTTTTCTCGTTTTTCTCCTTCTTCTCTTTATCTCCTTCTATTTATTCTCTCTGCCCGCCAGCCCTGCCTATCCCTCTCTTGCCTAGCTATTGGCTGTTCAGCTCTTTGTTAGACCAATCAGGTATTTTAGACAGTTACAGTAACACAGCTTCATAGAGTTAAACAAATACAGCATAAAAGAAGGCAACACATCTTTGAATCATTAAACAAATGTTCCACAGCATAAACAAATGTAATACATCTTAAGTTAATATTCTACAAGATGGTCCAGAGGGAGGGAACTAAGGTCTTTATGGTCTTGAAATTTAAGTTATTATGTATTAGCGATTAAAGAAAGAGATCCTCTGTGGCTCATCCTAATCTCCCTAATAATAAAACATTTTCTAATTCAGTTTCTTCACCTCATGCTTCTGGGCTTCCAGCTTCCTTAAGAACCACAGAGGTAGTAGAGATTTGAAAACATGGCCAACTAAATTTGTGTAACAAATACAAAAAAAGTTTAAGGAAAACTATTTATAGTACCAAGGTTTCATCTGATATTTTTATAATAATTACACAGTCACAGTGAGTGCAGCAAACCACCGGAGGAGACCATTCTGTGTGTAGCAAAAACAGGTTTATTGGAGAAGAAACTGCTGAGCTTTCTCCTGAGGGTGGAGAGCATCAGACCAGTCGAGAAAGCAAGTAGGCTTTATAAGGTTCCTGAGGGCTTAGGGCAGGTGCCTTCCTCTCAGGAAATTTTTTTTTTCCTGTCTTGGGTAGAACAGCGTCCTCAGGCCAAGCCTACCAGGCCAATTTATGTATAGCAGATGTCTTTTTGCCTGTGGTGGATGCCCGTCTTGGGGGAACGAGGAAATTGCAGGTCTCTGATAAACAAGGTCCCTGAATCACAGGGTTTTTGAGAACTGCTGGAGGTTAGCTCCTGTTTACTCACGGCCATCTGCCCTAGGTGACTCAGGTCACCATTTTAGGGTATTGGCAGCCACACCACCATCTTAGGGGCCTTCTTTGTGATCTAACAGTCACAAGGTATAACATTTTATATACAGAATTACTGTCATTTACATAAAATGGGTACATTGCACTTTTCAGGGTTCTTAGTGAAACTGAATTATGTCTTCTTTTGATAGCAACATTAGCTAACAGAAAGATTTTTTTAAAAAGGGTCTAGAGAAACAGCCTAGTGGTTAAGAGCACTTCCAGAGGACCCAGGTTCTATCCTCTGCACTACATGGTGGCTCACAATGATCTGTAACTCCAGTTCCATGGAATCCCATGCCCCCTTTGGACCCCTCAGGCACCACTCATGCACATGGTACACAGACATGCATGCACATGGTACACAGACATGCATGCACATGGTACACAGACATGCATGCACATGGTACACAGACATGCATGCACATGGTACACAGACATGCATGTAGGCAAAACACTTTTACACACAAAATAATAAAATAAGACTTTTAAAGATAAAAGAAATTCCAGCAGGAGTGAGTCCTTTGCCACGAGTCCACTTCAGCTCTTCTGGGGGAAGAATGTTATCCAAAGAGCAACTCTTTCTCCTCTTTGATAGAACATGGGCACTTTAAACTCAATAGCAATAGATGTGTGTGCTTCATTGGACTGCCACGGGAAGTTCAGCATGGAAAAACCATTTTTGTCGTTGAATTATGGTTGCTGTGACAATGACACTATGAGCCAATAAATAATTACTGTTAGTTGGGGACAACAGTTACATCATCTCACATGCAAGGCTGTGTGCCTTCTTCAGCAAACTGAGCAGCCTTCCTAAATTCTAGGAGCAAAGTTCTTCCTAGCAGTACACTTGGAATACAGCAAACACACACCTGAGCTAGTGATCCCACCCCTGGGGTGGGCAATAGATATGATTTTTAAGAATTACCCTCTCTTTGACTAAAATGACACATATTCAGCCTTATCCCAGCCATATAAACAATTCCTTTGTGTGCCTGAGTTGAAGTAATTGCGGTAAATAACTTCACAGCCTTGGATTTTCTTATGGAGAACTAGAGGGAGGGGTCAGTCCTATCATTTTGAAACCAGTCCCTCCACTGAAGGGAAAGCTGACCTGCATATCTGAAGTAGGCTCAGCTCATTATAACCTGTTTTCATAACAGGACCTGGAAAACCTTCAGTCATGACTCTTCGGTGTCTCCCAGGTCCTCTTCAACACCTTCCTCTATTCTTGCCTTTCACACAGTCATTTATTTTAGACTCTCAGAACACTTGAAAGACTTTCAGAAGGTTCCAAGCAAGCAGGGTTAAGCTTAAGGGGGTGTGGGTGTGAGCTAGGCTGACATTAGGGTACCAGCAGTGGGCCAGAGGAGCCGCCACAAAGTGTCTTCTGGAGGCTGATGTCCTTTCCTGCCCTCCCTCACACCTTGTCCCTGCTCCCTGACATAGACATCACACACACACACACACACACACACACACACACACACACACACACACCCCGTATGCAAGTTCATGCATGAGAGAGTCCAGAGCCTGAGTGGTGAAGACCTAGCAAGTAGATTCCAGACTGATGGGGCCAAAAGGGAGAGACCCTGACTCCAGTGTGAGTAAGCCTCATGCAATCACTTGAGAACATTAAGAGGAAGACGGAGCAATAGTGGATATGTAGCCTCAACTGGTCATCTCTTGTGACCAGGCAAGACTTCCAGGGAAGGACTGACACACCAACCCAGCCACAGAACCTACAACCTACAGTCTGTCCTGCCTAAGGGATGTGCTGGAAAGGCTTGTGAGGGGTAAGGGAGGGGAAACCGTGGTCAGGATGTAAAAATAAATAAATATTTTTAAAAAGAGAGAGAGAGAGAGAGAGAGAAGAAGACAGAAGTTTCTGGAAGAACAAAGAATTCTTCAGACATGA